TCTATCTATAGCGTCATCACTTAAACCCGATAGATATTTTCGCTTTGTGAGAGAAGTTTTAAGCTGTTCACAATTAGCAACAAAATATTCGCCGTTGGAGCACAGTCATTTAAAGCGGTGGGCCTGACTGTCGCGGTTTTGCAGTATGACTGCTCTTGAAATGTAGAAGCGGGTTTTTATCAGTAAGTTTGCGGTATAGTTTAGTAAGCAGTTTTCCTTGGCATATCGACACAGTGACGTCTAGAAAGTTTATCGAAAGCGATGGGTAATTGTGCGACCGCTTGATTGAAGGATGGAACTTATTAATCGCATCCATAAGTTTAAAAGGCTTTCCTCCCCTTCAAGTAGGATTCTCCTGTTAATGTGCCATGACCAAAATTCGTATACAAGAGTGCCGACGTTGCGAGAAGCGGACTCGTCCTGTTCAATGAAGTTCACTTGCCTAAACATCGGCATACATGTTTACTGATACAGACTTTTTCATCTCGCTGTTTTTTTTTTTTTTGAAGTAAGGTGTTGAAGTAAGGCTTGCTTCACTGCAACAGTAAAGCAAGCCTAATCGTGAAAAGCCGCAACAGAGCCGGCTACAGCAGTGTCGTCTCATTGATTGGGAATGCCTCGAAACATGTCTGGCTGCTCTTAACTATTCCGAGAAACAGATGTAATTTTTATAAGGCAAATGCATGCTAGAAGGAAGACGCATATACTGCGTGGACATTATATACAGTACACTTGGTAAACTCTTCTAAGCTGCTTTACGCCACTGCGTCCCATCAAATGTTTCAACGTTTATCGCTCTGTTGCCGAGGCATCGTATATATACTTACACCAAATTGGCAGCGCCTAAAATGCCATTAAGGCGAGGGCCTTTTGTCTGATTTTTTAAACAGATGTTCGCGCCATGTCTAAGTCAGCATCTCGGGACGCGCACCGCCACTCCATCATAGAGAGAGCAAGTGCAAATGCGCCGATGGTCGATTAAATAAGTTTTTGCGGTTAGTACGCCATATACTTTGGAGAGAATGAATGCGAGGTTCCGGTCACCACTTTAGATTTTGATGAAATTTACTCTGCTGGGCGCAAGTTTTACGCCCAAAATTTCAAAGCTAGTTCTTTGAAACAACATTTTCGGTCGCACAAGGAAAATGTGCATGAATTCTGACCGCTGAACACTTGACCGCCAATTTTGTAATTTTTCGAATTTCAGCGCACCTAGCAATAAAACGGTGGACTTGGTGATGACGTTTATGGAAATGAAAAAACAAGTGAAATGCAATCTATCAGAATCTTATACCACGGAAGTGCTTGAGGGAAAAGAATCACAAAAAGGGTAAAGGTTCACAAAACACATGTAATTCTGAAATTCATTGTAGCACATAAACTAAGCTAAGGATAATGAAGCTTGGTACATAATGACGTTGATATCATGGTGTTCTTTTTTATATAATTTTTGTGCTTTCGCCCTCCCCGTTATTGTGCTGAAGCGTATGTCGTTTACCAAGAACGTCAAAATATGAATATTGTTTTTGTTTAGATAGGCCATTATTATCTCTTTAACAAGTCTCTAATTGAATTCAGGAACTTTGTATGCCATTCCGTAGAAAAATGTCCTACATTATTCGAGTTGTTACAATGCCATCGTGCGTCAAAAGTGACCGGCTTTGAACACGTTCCTCGTTCCTTCCCAAATTTGGGAACGAGTTCCCGTTACAAGTTCCTGTATAGCGAAAAGAACGCGTACGTTTAAATTTCAAACATTGGAAAATGTTACATTGACGCTAAATTATAGACTTTTTTTTATAAAAATATATTTTCACTCAATCCGGAAGCGAAGTAAAGTAAGTTCATATCAAGCTACACATATTATGCGAATGGGAGGCTATATATACCAGGGTAATTCAAATAAACGCTCCAAGTTGAGTTTTCACAGACCGCCAGCCACAATTAACCATGTCCGAGTGGCAGTTTGTATGCTTATCATTTTAAAGTCCCACACATGGGGCACTTTCCAAGTCGGCCTTGAAAGCTGCGGTCAAGATACCGCGATTTAGATATTTAAATATCAATCTCCGCCCATGCATGTACACATATAAACTTTGCGCACAGAACCCCGCATCGAGAGAGACAATACTAAGGCGTTTAAAAAGTGCTGATTCAATATTTTAGTGTGAGTAGAAAATAATGTCCAGGAAACTTAATAAAGTTTTCTGCCGGCCAACATATTTCTAAGTATTTCTCTCTGTTTTTCTGTATTTTATTGATTTCCCTCTCTAAGCTTGCTCTTTCTTTATACATCTTTTCACTCGTTCTTCTAATACATTCGTTCTCCCCTCTTTCCCTCCTCACCACCCTTGCCCAACGCATTGCTATGCTAAGCTCTGCTAGCGTGTGCGCCTGTTTCACAGCTAATAATTTCCTCAACAGCTGGCTTAGGTCGCTCAGCTAAGACGAGCAAAGGGAAACTCAGCCAGAATGGCTTTTTGCATTGATTAGGTGCTTACATCCTTACCGCCGTTGTAGTGTATGATTCAATAACGCCGTTACTTTCGCTAGACTATTTTTAATGGTGATACATGTGTTTCTTGTTGGGCCACGATACAAGCAGAATGAACAAACTCTATTTAATTCCTTCAAAGGCTATGATAAATAAATGCTGCCCTTCTATCATAGAATTTCTTTCTCTTTCCATGTATCAACTCTCTCTTTACTCACTCGCTCACTCACTCACTCACTGAAGTTATTGCATCGCGCAACAGAGACATGAGTGCACGTGTTGTGAGAGCGTGCTCACAATTACGACAAACCTCGAGCATATAGCAGATGTGCTGTACAAAAATCAACACAGCGCCGCTTTTTCGGGCGCCTGCTGCACGGTCCTCCGCATGCCGTTCGGATAATAGACGCCTGCCATTCCGTCATTTATGTAACGCGTCCGCCGATGCTGAATGGAACGGTGGTGTTCCTCCAAGAAGGAACTAGTTGGTTCTGTACAACACTGAGCGGGACTAACTCAGTCTAGTCGCCACGCTGTTCATCGCGTGCTGCAAATCGGATGAAGGTTGTTTGAATATCCAATGTGGTCATTAATAAATTGTTAAAAAAGAACAAACGCACTCGCATTGATTGGTGTGTTGTATTGAATAAAAGCAAGCTCACTAGCATTTAAATGGCGATGGTGCAACTGCACGGACAAAGCTGCTGGTCTGCCAAGAGAAGCGAGCTCCTTATCAGCATCAAATTTTAAGAAAAAAACAAAACAAAATGAGCTGTTTCATATAGGCGCACCCTTCGCTGCGCTGAGCGACGTCGCCGTCCGTGGCGTATAAGCCATACACATGAAAACAAAAAGTACCCATGGTCGAATGGTATACTTCAACCCTCTGCGTAGAAGTGGAGTATTGCACCACAAAGCGACACTGGTACTTATCACACTGATTGGCAAAGAGGCATGCGCAATGTCGGGCGAATAATCGCGTTATAAGTCGTATATACAGCGTGGTAGAAGAGTGAAACCCCAATACGTCACCACACGTTGCCAATTGTACTGTGTTGTTTATTGCTTTTCCACACCGCGTTCAGAAATAATTCTTCGTCGTCATAACAGTTATTCTCTCTCATCGTCATCGACGTATACAGATGCGTGTCTGAAGAAAGATGGCGTAGTTCACAAAAGTTATCGTTTAATGCGACGGACAACTTCAAAGCTGGCTGCGCTCAGAATTTCAATTAGGCAGAATCGTAATCATCGTTGAATGTTTTTTTTTAAATGCTAGTCTGTACTGCTCTTTATGCACAGGCATTTCTTCATAAACCTTATTTGGAAAATTATGCTACATTTTAAGACAGCCATTGATATCCATGGCTTATTATTAGTCAACCCCTCTCGGTGCATGTCTTTATTTACTTGGTCCTGTTTCTGGCAGTGCGAAGAAGACAGGCATTTTTATCCGCCATAGCAGCTTTACTTCCATTGATATCAATGTGTGTAGTTTATTATCAATTAAGATCAATGCCTTCCATTATTTAATCTCGATCATTGTGTGTCTCTTCCTACCGTCTTGTCTTGTTCGCGCTGTGCTTTATAGGAGACCGGTGTGAACACAAAAACGTAATCTGCACTCACGTATGAACGCTGTGCAAACGCGCCATCCTTCTCGAGGCCCCAAGACAGGAGTATGGGTTATCGTTATAGTTGGTTTATGATGTAGGTAGGTATATAACCACCCTAAATTTTAACTATAGCGTGTGTGAGTGGACACTTTTCTGTGCATTTGAATGGAAAGCTGGACTACTTTGAATACTTGCATAATTAATGCAGCGCCAAAGACGAAGCGCACATAGGACGAACGCGTCCGAGTTTCGAACAGGGTAAGTGACAAAGCGCGCTCATCGTTTGCTGCTTATATATAAGCAGTTAATTCTTGAGGATGTCGCCTACATTTATGACGAGACATATTTTACGGTAGCGTGTGGCAACACACCGTAAAAGGCAAAAACAGCGCAATAAAATAGACGAACGATGATGAACGCAGCACTCGTTCATCCGTCTATTTTGCCCTGTTTTCAGCTTCGGCTTATCGCGAGTTGAGTTCTCTTGAATCTTTCTTTCACCGAGTGCCTGCTGCAGAATTCGCCTTCGGAGCACAAAATAAGAGCAGCAAGATTCTTCGTCTCACTCCATCCGAAATAACTTCGTAGGAGGGAAACTGAGCGCGATTTGTACGCACCCACCCTCGTCTTGCTTTCATGCTGGACGGCACAGAAAAGGTCACCGCTCACGCACGCTCTAGATTTACAGGGCATCCACTATACTGGAAGGCCACTCGAACGATTTCCCGGGAAGGCCGTACCGTGGAGATCTCATCCGCGACAAAGGAGGATTAACCCTACGAATCAACGCAGGCGCGGTTTCAAATTTACTATGGTTGCAAACTCCCGAGAAATGAAGTTGGCGTAGTTTTGCGTGCACTCTGGTGATCAACGAGTGTCTTTTCCTGCAGCTGCTCGTGCTGATCTCGGTGGCGGTGTGCGAGCCAGCCCTGCGGCGGGACGAGGCGGGGCTTTCCCAGGCGGGCGGCCAGCAGCCCTTCCGCCAGGAGGAGCGCACCTCGGACGGCACCGTGCGCGGTCGGTACGGCTTCACGGACGCCAACGGGTACCTGCGCGTCATCGAGTACGTGGCCGACGAGACGGGATACCACGTGATACACACCAAGACCGAGCTGCCGCGGGACAGGCCCCGGCCAACGGTCAAGCCAGACGCGCCCTTTCTGGGCCCGCTGCCGCCGTTCATACCGAGGCCCCAACCCGAAGAGTCCGAGACATGATCGACGCTCGGCGGGTCCCGCCACAGCAATGCGTCAGAGACGGTGATGGAGTCACGTTCGAGGAATTTCGTTTGTTATACTTGGGGACAACTTTCTGAGGCAATGAAGGGAAAGCTATAGGGGGTATGCTCTAGACGTCATCCACAAGGATCGCTAGCGTCGTGGTCGCCATTTTGGCAGTCGGCGCGCTCGCTCGTTGCCCGCGCTGTGTCCAGGATCCGTACGGCAACTAGGATGTCTAGTGACCTCTGGAATAACCTCCGGCACGCCAGAGCACGTGCAGCTGGACGCGCGTACGAACGAACCTTCGAAATGGCGCGGCGATGGTGTTGCCCCCTTGCGGGTGAAGGCTGCACAAAGCGGAGCTACTGCGCATGTGCGAAAAAGTTCGGCTCGCCTCACTTTTCGAATGCCGGCCGTGTTCGAATAATAGCACTGCATAGAATTTGCTGCGTCTGCTTACACATCTATTTGTGAGTGTAATTAGACACAAGCTTCTTCGGCGGGTCGTCGGAACAACTAGAGTGCGATGAGCATTCATTTAAAGTCGAAGACGCCATTTGGCTGAGGGGTCCCTAAAACATGCGACGTTTTCAGGCGTGCAAAAACGCAAAATGATACTTCATGAAGCAAAACGAATATTAATATCTCCTTGGTTCGTTCATCGTCTCTTCATAAACAGCTTTCGTATAGAAAATAATGCTGTTTTTATGGCTGTCGCGCGGGAAATACACTCATATTTGGGACCATATTCTTCAGCGATGCCACACGCCCACTTTGGTTCCGTAGCCTTCCCTTCATAGAAAGTTGTCCCCGAGTATAGAAAGTCAACTTTTGGTCAGACGTAATGCGTCGCTCTACTTTCGAAAATTGAGTCGCAGCGCAATAGCAATGCGAGCGTTCTTTGATTTTCGCCGCTATATACGACGAACAGGCAAAAATGGAAATGCCACTTGTACATATAGGCCGATGTGTGGCTTCGTTAGTAAAAAAATATGGTTCCTGTGATTTGAAGCACACTTGATCCACATATAGTAAGGTGTCTTTTTCATGTCGCCCATCGAATGATTCATATAGTCAAGGTATTCCGTATTTATTATAAACTGACCCTCCCATTTTGATCTCTCTCCCAGTACTGAGGCACAGCAAACAGGAATCACGCAACGAAGCTAACCTCTTGGCAGTCAGGCTAGCGGCCCATGAAAGCAAGCATTCGGGCGAGTTGGCACACGATGGGAAACTGAACCGAGCTACGTCTGACCCTCTGAGTAGATTTTTACAGCGTTGTTGCACGCTATAGTTTCCAGGGGATCAGGTAGACCGAGCGCGTCTCGCCGCTGCGGTGGCGCGCCTGTCGCGGGGATACAAGTCGCTTGTTATGCACTGAGGGAAAAAAAGAAGGCGCGCTTGTAAACCTTCCAGGGTGTGTGACGGTCGCGCAGTGCATTGCGTGCCCGGATCGAGATGACGTGGCAGAAATTTTTTCGTTCTTTACGTTATTACCGTCACGGAAATAAAAAATGATGGCGTTGATTTAACTACAAGAGCAGCTTAGGGCTGCAAGATGTAAAAGCTTTTATTGCGCTCATCTGTTCCATTGCGTTTGCGTGAAATGTCTATTTTTGTGCGTGTCTTTCTTCAACGCATTCTTCATGAGCCACCTGACTTTTTCTTCACTTCTGCCTGCTTCTTCATGTATATGTACAAAAAAGAAAAGTATATCAAAGTGCAATGAAGACTGAATTGTGCAAATAATTTATGTGAGCCGCGAGGCTAGTGATAAATAAGGAAGCACTGGAGTGCGTTGTTTTATGTGATACATGTCGCGTTGTCTCGGCTTGTCCGAAGAGTGATTATATGCTTTCTGCGAAAGTAGCGGCCTGATTCACCAATAAAAACAAAACAAAAAGCTTGCTACGAAACCGTCTCCTTTGTTCGAATGAGATTTCACTGCATGCGTGCATACGGAGAAGAAGCGACACAACCATGAGAGCTGCATTTTGTGCATTCGAGTACAATCAAAATAATAGTAAAAAATAAAGAGGCGAGTTGCGAATGCGCATGTGAAGTGAGTATTAACGATCCCATGCATACTAAAAACGGGGAAATATAAAGTCGGACAAGCAAAAACATGGGAGCATTTCTCCTTGTTTTGTGCACAAGGTATATTCCAAGAGAAACATACTCCCGTAAAAAGCGGACACTCCCGTAGGACTATGCAGCCGAGCTACTGTGCTGCTTTCAGAGCCACGAGCGGCTGGTCAGACCGATAATGTCTTCGGCATAATAAAATTAAACAAGGTTTTTTTTTTCTGATGCTGAGATTTGAATCCTCATTATGCTCTGAAAGCGAGTTTCACCAAGCTACTCACCCATGCTTCCGCACTAGGAATACATCTAAACCACATTAATGCAAACCCTTAATTGGTCCAAAACAAATGAAGAAAGACAACACTTTCTAGAGAGTAGCGCTTTAAACGTCCTCAGAAGGACACGAAGTATACAGCCGACACGGATAATTGCACAAGCCAATATTTTTTTTTTCAAAAAATTTTGATGCCGAACTTGGGTCTTTCCTGAGGCGGCTATTACATGTGTTGACTGACGAGTAGAAGCGGTTGTTCACACCCTTACTTGCTCAGTCGCGAAAAGGCTCGAGTGGCTCGCAGGCCACTTTAAGATAACTTTCCAGTACAAACACGACTGTAATTAGTGGTAGCATGACATACGAAATACCTAAAGAGCTCACCAAAGCAAGCCAGGCGCAACGTGAAATCGAATTCCAGTGTGTATACCTGGCCATTGCAACATTCCTGGAAACACGGCTGCCGAGGAAGCTGCACGACCAGCACATCGTAAAAATGTTAACGTTTCTTTACCAATCTATAAAAGTGAGTTGCGTAGTAATATCAAAGCTACAACTTTCAGAATGAACAAAAATGCTTGGTTTGACCAAAATACAATGAGCTGTGATTTTTTATCCCTTCGATCCATTCATTGAATTCGAAATTACGCTCGCATTAGATAAAAGTATGGAAACACTTATTCACCGGTTGAGGCTGAGCACCACATACACAAAGCTTTTTTTTTTTTTTGCACAGAATTTGCAGAGCCTGAATCTCCTGAATGTGAATGTGGATTTATAGATGAAGACGTATGTCATGCACCCGGTTCATATAGACTGTCCACATCATGACATGCCGAATCGCAGTCTCAAATCGAAACGGTTGGCATTAGGCCACAGACCGTTAATTATTAAGAAACTTCTGAGCCTATGGCCCACTGGGGCTTTCATACGATGCTTTAGAAGCGTTAAAACGCTTTTTCTAAGTCAGCGGAATCGCTGGCAAGTACTAAAAAAAATAACAAACTTTCATTTGTGTAACACGTCGTACTTAATATGTGCAGTATTATATGACATCTATATGTGATGAAGTGCATGTCGATTGCCATGTGCACATGAGCGAATACATCTCAATAAGGTGTTCTCTAATCGAATGTCAATGGGGGACATTATCAGATACCTTATTCGTTGACTTTCGAACATTTCCTTTCCATTGTGTTCGTGTTCTTTGATACGTGCCTATGAGTGTGTTTTTTCATACGTGTGCTCGGGTGTTCTATGTTATATGCACTGCTTTTTATGTTTTTCTTTAAGATCACGTAGTACGTGATCAGCTTTCACTCAAGGACTAAGGAGTAGCCGGCGTCTTACTTGTGCGCCAGCACCTCCTTATCACCGTCAATCAATCTATTCTCGTCTGTACAGTCCTTCCGATCATGAAAGTATTCACGGAGGCGGAAATTACGCGCAAGGTTATCAAGGTCTTGGTACAGTTCAAACTCATTAAATCTACTGGATGATGGACAAAAGGTTTAGCCTCTCGACAAAAGCTGTAGCTGAGCTGGTGTAAGCGTTGTATTGGACAGACTGAGTACATTGTTCTTTTAAGTTTTTGGCTGCTCTCGGCTATCTCGTGGCACGGGAGTGTCAGCGTCATATTAGAGAGTCAGGCTGTTTTGATTAGGATTACGCTGCAGCTTCGAGTGCTCATTTTTCTCTTCTAAGTTAGGTTGTGGTATGGGTGATCCCTGGCGTTCTTGTAGGGTCTCATTCCCCTTTTCCACCTGTACCAGAACAGTGAACCTTTTGCTGTTCCGGTAAAGGTTTCGATCTTTTACTCTTGAAATCTCGCCTCTCTTTCTTTACCTCATATCTTTCCAGTTATCTGGAAACTGTCTCATGTTCTCTTGCCCCTTGCTGGTGAGAGTGGCGACGTCGCCAATCTTACCAGCAAGGCGCTACAACACCAGGTGGACGAAGCACAATCAAGCACATGAGCTCGGTTTGACCGACGCCATGGGCGCCATGGGCTGGCGTCCGAACCGACGCCAGCCCATAGCGGCGCTGGCGTCGGTCAAACCGTTTCAGGCCTCGCTACGGGGCGTTGTTAATTAAACGCGCTGACGACTGTACTTGGTATAAGATGTACACACTGCTCCTAAAAAGACGCCAATTCACCTCGCAAGTCTTGGTTATTCAAAGTGCTGCATGCGGCTACTCGCCAGCGCATGAAATCGATTCCAAGGACGCGTGTGATCTGATGGAATTTTCCCGCACTTGGCAAGCTGCTAGCACGAGTAGTTTGGTCATACCTCATAGACTGCGGCGCGTGTGCTAAGCATTCTAAAAGACAGCTTGTGCAAACACGGGCACAAGAAAGACACCATGAACTGATCGACAACTGTGCGCAAGAGAATTGATTGATAGATATGTGGGGTTTAACGTCCCACAACCACTGTATGATCATCACAGACGCCGTAGTGGATGGCTCCGGAAATTTCAACCACCTGGGGTTCTTTGACGTGCGCCCAAATCTGAGTACAGTGCACAAAAGAGGGGGGGGGGGGGGCAGAAAAACTTCCGATCTAGCACGCGTGAAATACATTTGATATCATGTGCTAACGCATGCGCGCTATTATCGATGTTTTCATTCCTGTGACGTGCTCGTTTTTTGTCTTTTAGAGTGGCTCCGCTCTCTTTATTTCGTGCTTGTCCTCAGTAAAAAGGGAAACATTGCAAAACGTAGCCCACACGGCCGCCGCCGCGAATGCCGACAAGTGCTGCGCTGCACGCATCTACCGCAGGTGGCCGCGGGGAGGGGAGACGGCCGCGTGATCGACCCCGGCAGAAGGTGCAGCCGACCTCCGACCCTGCCCAGCCGCGGGTCCCGCGTTCTAGGAATGCATGCATCCCTCGCAGGTGACGCGGGGCCTTCATTAATTCTTAGCCGAGGAAGAAACAAAGAGCCGCACGACTGGGCGCCGCACAATACTCCGCAGGGCGCACGCACACACTGTTTGCTTCGCGATTTCAATCTCGCTGCTTCACGGGTCTCGGCGGTGGAATGCTTTCGGCACGGCGCTCGCCGCTCAGACGTGATTGAGGGGCAACAACGGAACGGCATATCGAAAGTGATCATGCAAAAGTGCTCGACGACATTTGAGCCGTGTCCCGACAACCCGATCAAAGCAGCTCGTTCTTCGTGCACGAGCACGCCAAGAACACGTGATGCCATGTGGGACATCGTAACAACAATTGTCAAGTACACCCAAGCCTTGCCATCACTAACCTACGGGCACGTCGTCATTGCTTTCCATCGCTTCGGGGTCTTTTGTGATGGATAGCGGGACTAACTCGATTTCTGTGGCACGCCATCCGTTTATTATGGTGGTACTTTTCTGGACTGACTCGCAGGAACGATTTCCTGAACAGTTTAACTGTTAAAACGCAACTTAATTAGCTCATCATTATTATTGTTGTGCCGGCACAAAGCTTTCCCCTTTATTCACGCCCTTTCGTATTGATCGACGCGGAAAGAAAGTATTGATCGTTAATTCATGGACGGGGAAGGTGCAAGCTCTCATGAGACAATAATTAAGCTATAGTTTGACATTCTCGGTCAATTGCATTGACGACAAGGACAGATTGAGCCATTACTCGATCGTCTTCTTGAGCACGCGCGGTTAAGAAATGTATTCTAAGATTTTTCAAATCACCCGACAAGCTTTTTTAACGTTCCATGTAACCTGTGATAAAATATTGAAAAAAAGACATTTGGGAGATCTCGGGTATCAATTTCGCAGAGAGCAGTCAGTAAACGTCGGCGCTCACGTTAGAGCAGTGACGCCAGTTTCGTATAGTCCCAAAGCACACGCGGCAGCGCGATCAACGATTCGTTTTCAGAGTAATGTTCATATCTTGATTGATTGATTGATATGTGCGGTTTAACGTCCCAAAACTACTATATGATTATGGGAGACGCCGTAGTGGAGGGCTCCGGAAATTTCGACCACCTGGGGTTCTTTAACATGCACCCATATCTGAGCACCTGGGCCTACAACATTTCCGCCTCCATCATGTTCATACGTGTAATGTTTGTTACTTTGATATAAATTCGGATAGCCATGGGCCTCTGCAACCACTCTTGGCATTGCACCTCGCACAATGCTTATGCAGGGTCTAATACCAAAGCAGTTTGAAGCATTGGCGTGGTCACAGGTGTGAGCACTATGGGGGCGCTCCCCTAGACACCTGGGGCGAAATCCACACCATAGAGTCATTTACTAGAGTGCCGCAATCAATCTTCGTCGCGTATACGCCGACCTCTGTAAGGCTACCCTGCTTATGGGCGTGGTTATGTGGTGGGCATACTTGATTGCCACACATTATTCCTGGGTTCGACAAATGTAGACACCATACAGTGACTTACTAGAGAGCCGCAATGAACATTCGCCCCCTACGTCCTCCTCTGTAAGGCTATACCCTGCTTATGGGCGTGGTCAAGTGGCGGGTTTACTTGGCTGCCACGCAGAATACCTGGGTTCGATAAATATACACCACTG